ATGTCATTTAATTTCTCTATAACGGGTTAAAACAGACATTTAGCCTGAGATTAAGACAGGCATTTCGAATATTCTCGTTTTCTTTTCAACACTTAAAGACGAATGGTAATTATATGTACCACCAAATATAACAATCAGTAAGTTTTTGTTTTATGTTCATTTAATTCTTATGATTTTCATTACAAACAGCGGTTTTAACGTGTTAATCTTCGTAATGGTATAGTGTTGTGTTTTCTTTGCGGTACGAAGTGAATTCTGAAGTTTTCTTCAGGCACGTTTTGGCTTTAAGCAAACCTACCTTTGCCTGAAGGAGGAGCGGACACTTTCTGGGGATCTTCGTAATTGCAAATCTAAATTTGTCCCCCATATAAAACGCAGTGCCTAATACCATTGCCCTTCAATATTTATTTCGGTTTTTAATAGTTAATTAATTAATTTTGCAAATAAAGTGTTAACGAGCACAAAAGCAAAGTAAATATCTTGAGAAATATAGAAGGCAAATACATCCTAAATATGTAAATCCATTATTATTATTATACGGAGACAACAGAATACAGAAAATGGCTGTCTTGAAAACCTCAAATCCTACAAGAATATACACCAAAGAATGACGATGATCTACAAGGAAATTTAACTAGGTTCAATGTAATATGAGAATAAAATGACGAAGAATGCAAACGGATGACAGGTAAATGATTATCAATGTTTGGGATGTCACAACCCTTTCAATATATAATATGAATATATATATTTTTTTTATTTAGTGTTCTGTCTGACGACAGGTCCATATGAACAGGATCCTTCCATCCTTTTCTCGGACTGGGACCTGTTCATATACGTTCTTGGCAGATGATCCAGAAGTGGTTTGCCATTGCCTTCGTCTGTGTGTGAATGGAGTAATTGTTGCGATGCCACGGAGGAAAACTCCGTGTTGCCGAGACCACGGCCTTGCACAACACAAGTTATAAATTCGGGCACCGACGGGAATCGAACCCGAGACCCTAGGATTACAAGGCCAGCGTAATGATAGGTTTATTTTATTTATTTAGTGTTCTGTCTGACGACAGGTCCATATGAACAGGATCCTTCCATCCTTTTCTCGGACTGGGACCTGTTCATATACGTTCTTGGCAGATGATCCAGAAGTGGTTTGCCATTGCCTTTTTCTGTGTGTGAATGGAGTAATTGTTGGGATGCCACGGAGGAAAACTCCGTGTTGCCTAGACCACGGGCCTTGCCCAACACAAGTTATAAATTCGGACACCGCCGGAAATCGAACCCGAGACCCCAGGATTACAAGGCCAGCGTTCTAACCGCTAGACCACCGTGGCTTAATATGAATATAGTCAGGAACAAAATATGTAAAAACAAAATAAATTAATCGAACGTAATATAAGATCAGACATAGGCGGTTGTGAAAATGGTATATCAAAATTTGTACTGGTGTGTTTCAGTGTGCCTAAGCAGAGCACTAATTTTTAAGAGTTCATGTTGGAATAATCTATAGCTGAATCCCATAGAAGGGGTTGATCTCAACCAGTGGACCTTTATGACCTGATATATTCAGTTTCTAAAACTTTGTTACACTTACATGAAGAGGCCAGATTATTAAACACATTTTATATATTTTTTATTCCATTCAACTTCTGTGAAAATCAGTTTTAATCTTCATAATTTGATTGCAATTCCAATATTGTGGTTGAGTTATTAAAGCAATTAATCGCGGACATGAAATCATAAATTGACGAGGGTCGGGTCTCTGAAAATGTTCTCGCAGCCACTTCGCTGATAAAGATCGCGTTGTCTTATTCGGTGAAGTGTCTGGCTTCAGACTTCGCCGTGAATCCATAAAGGAGCGCACAGAATATTCTTTCTCGAGTTGCGTCTAGCAGATGTTGACGGTTTCGCGAGTCTGAGCAATCTGTACGCTGTACTCGTCTGCTCGCCGGACACGCCTTAAGACACCTCGCGTGTCAGACCGTCGCCACCATCTAATGTCACGATCAAGAACAAATGTAGGTTAACCTCCACGCCCACCACCTTAATGATACAGTGCTTAGAAGCATTACGTTTTATATCTTTATTATTTAACTCTAATTGAAGAAGGGTGTTATAGAAATGAATTACAACTTACGTGTTATATTAACAGACTCAAACCAATTTAAATATCTGAACTGGAATTCATCTAAATAGCATTTAAGAATTCAGTATTTTCCTTAAAAATCAAAAACAAAACAATTATTATAACGATCAATAGTTAATTCTGTTCCAGAAAGTAATTTCTGTTTACAGTAAGAATCATGCGAAACATAAAATGAAGAATTATTGACTGTTGAATCAGGTGGGTTATACAATTACCATTGGGCTCGAAGGGGTTAAAATAAAAGTAATGTTTAATGTTTAATGCATAAAATATTCATTAATTTTAGTGTTACTTTCATAGACGTTGTTATACATTAATTCTTAAGACAACTGTTATAAAACTTAGGATACCTGAGGATACGAACAATAACAACAGAGATGTATGACAGATTCTGTCATATTGTTTTGCTTACTACAAGCTTTGAAGTCGTAATTCTTCATGCGCACAGAACAACTAGTTCCGTCGACATTAGAACTCTGTAAAACCATTATTGAACTATGTAAAGCCATAACATTCTCACAGGGGCTTCTTGTCTTTATTTGTATTGTTCAAGTTACGTAATAAATTGGTGCGGGAAAGAGAGGCCCTAGGACAATGCTTACATGTTCCTGCCCTCGGTAAATTAGTGTTAAGTTAAAGGCTTGCTACAAAACGGATCATTTACGCGTAAAATTAAACTTACAGATAACTGTGCAGATTATCTGCTTCAGTAGAACTCATAGTCGAGAAAGAATCCTTTTACGCTATTTTATGAGACGGTATAAGAAGGAAGGTCCATTCTTTGCTTTCGAAAGTTGCTGACTTGCTGAAAGAGGTGTGGAAATAGTAACACATGCGTATTTTAAAGTTAGGATTTGAATAAACTAATTTCTTGTTGATATGAGGTTATTACTGCGACGAGTATAAAGATTCATGTCTTCTGGGTTGTCGAGCCACGTAGTGTGGTAGTGCGATAATCGCCCTGATGATGGATGCAGCAAGGACCTCTAAAACGTCGGTGAACTTCTACCAGACTTCACGGCGCAACAACCCAGAAGACTGTGATGTTTAGACTCACAGCCGTGAAAACTTCAAATCCTACTTAATAATGAGAAGGTTTATATTCGAAAATCATAATGCATATCACGTTAAATTAAATCGCCGCTTATATTTTGAAAATTAATTTTGATAATTCAGTATAAAACAACCACGGTGGTCTAGCGGTTAGAACGCTGGCCTTGTAATCCTGGGGGTCTCGGGTTCGATTCCCGGCGGGGCCCGGATTTATAACTTGTGTTGGGCAAGGCCGGGGGCTAGGCAACACGGAGTTTTCCTCCGTGGCATCCCAACAATTACTCCATTCACACACAGAAGAAGGCAATGGCAAACCACTTCTGGATCATCTGCCAAGAACGTATATGAACAGGTCCCAGTCCGAGAAAAGGATGGAAGGATCCTGTTCATATGGACCTGTCGTCAGACAGAACACTAAATATATATATATATATATATAGGCGTGTCTTCTTGAGGTGAGAAGGGCAATTCTAGTTGAGTCAGTGCAGTAAAATAAGTTGCGTCTTCATAAATGACAAACAGAGCAGCTGTAGTTATTTAAGTTTTCTCATTTGACACAAAATAAATTGCATAGATTACCAAGTATTTGTTTGATTTTAATCACACTCCATTTTAATTATAGAGGGTTAATTATATTAGCCACCCTACAGCTGTGGTACTCCACCCACAATTAAATCGTTAAAGCATTATGTGGAGGGTGGGAGTGGGAATTCTAGCTCAAATAATTTCCAAAAATAATAATTTATCTCATTTCAAGGAAATTTAACTCATAGCTCTTTTACCAAAGTGGATCGCAGACATTCGCCGAGAAGAAAGGTTGGTAACTCTGCTCTGCAGTTTCCAGCCTGTAACGAGAACCATTTTCTCCCACCTGTAATTGGAATGTTCTGCTATCAACAAATTATACGGCACTCTCATTATTCTTATTTTGTACATTTATGGGCTTAACTTTCTAATAAGCACGAAGTATTTGTGAGTGGATGCGTGTTGATCCTGTAGCGACTGTACTAGAATATACTTTTTCTACTTCATATAACACGCGCGCTTTGTTACAGCTTCGTACCTTCTGGTCAAATCCGGTTGCGTTATGTATTCGATAGTCATGTGCTAAGTTAACTTAAAACTTATATGAGAACAGGTAACATGACAGAATTTATTTTCATAAAGCACTTAACTTATGTTTATCAAATCTAAAACTTCTTGACGGTGGTGAAGAGTCAATTGAATAAAAATTTTCTTGGATATTATCCGTCGTCTAGTAAATATAAAACGCAAAACGACGTTTCGGAGATGGGACTCTATCTCCGTCTTCAGGTTCCTACACAATTGGGCCCACTAGATAGAGCTAATCCCTATCTCCGGACCTTTCTTGGATATTATCCATCGTCTAGTAAATATAAAACGTAAAACGACGTTTCGGAGATGGGACTCTATCTCCGTCTTCAGGTTCCTACTCAGTTGGGCCCACTAGATAGAGCTAATCCCTATCTCCAGAGATCGGGATCCCATCTCCGAAACGTCGTTTTACGTTTTATATTTACTAGACGATGGATAATATCCAAGAAATTTTTTATTCAATTAACTTATGTTTGCATCTTGGTTGATCAAAAGCGGACTGGCTACACTGAGACATTGTAGTTCATTATGTAATTAATAAAAGATAAGTGATTGAGCATACGAACGCTAACATTTTATTATTTTATGTAAATGAAGACGTAACTAAATAACTCCATATAGCGGATTACTTGTTTGTTGGTTAAAGAAAATAATCACTTTCTATGAAACCGGAAGTGTTAGAAGATTCCAACTGATCCTGTTTATGCTCCGTATGAATCCTGTCTACACTCTTATGCCGCGATTTATTTAAGGTTCATTTTAATATTATATTTCCTTCCACGCGAACATTTTCTATGTGGTCTTTCAATCGGGTTTTAGAATTTAATTTTGTATTTTTTATCTTCTACATGCGTGCTACATGCTCCGCTGGTCTAATTCTCCGTAAGCTGATGCCATAAATTATGAAACTACTTCCACCTTCCTCATGCTTTCTCTTCGTGAAGTCCAAATATTCTCCTCAGAACATTACCAGACACTGAATCTTTGTTCACACCCACAGAAATCTAGAGATAAATCTGTAGTTTTACTTTAACCTTTGTGCTTACAGAGAGAATATTGACTGCAAGGCAATAACAATTTCCCGGATTTTATATGTTCTCAAATTCTACATGAATTTTTATGTGTTGGTATCGTTCTACAACATATTTTAACTTCTATTTTCGAAAGATTATTTCGCTGATTTTGTAGAATAATTTGTACCGAATTCTGATAAGGGCACGTGAACAGAATACCCACTTTTGTTGACTTATTCTTGGTCCACCTATTTAGTATGGCCTAATGGAGCTTCTGTGACGGATAATTTAAAAAGTTTTTGAAGATGGTTGTCTTCTGGGTTGTAGCAAGCTCACAAACGTTTCAGAGGTGCTTGATGCTTCCGTCATCAGGGCGAGAGTATAAACATGGTATGTATAATTTATAACGACTTGATTACCTGGAAAACGTTGGTTGATATCAGAGTTTCAGACAAAAAATTAGGAGACTTTCCACACTTATTTTTCATGCAGCAAATATCCTTCCGTTTACTGCTAATGAGATTTGTAACATATCTAACGTTCACATGTTTGATGATCAAATTTTTGATATAAATATTTTGTTTAAAAATAGCCATCTATTTTTACAATTTTCGTAATTTCAGCGTTATTATGAAGTTTGTTCTAAAATTCATTTATGTATTGTCCTTTTTACTTGATTCGCGTATTTAATTTTCTTGTACTGTTTTGTCTCCCTTAACTTTTGAGTTGCGGGGATTAAACAAAGAACTGCAGTGAATTATTGCCGTTAATTTCACGTGTTTTATCTTTCTTTCAGAGCATCGGGAGCTATTAAATGAATGACCATAATACATTTTAATGTATATTGAGCTATATTTTATATTCGCCACACACAAATTTCTGCTCGTCCCTGTTAATTAATTTATCTATCACTAGGTACTATATACAATTAGTATGAAAAATGCACAGCAAAATCACAGAGTGCGTAGATCCCCAGCGCTTGCACAGCTGAATTGTCAGTGGCAAATGCATCGATCAGTGTGCTGCCAGACTCCTAAAATTGCAGATTCATGTTTACTAGTAGAGACTAGCATAAAATGACACAGCTAGACGTACCAGTGTTATTGATAAATGTGTTCATCGAATGATTTTAAATTTTGCGCCGTTAGATTCGTCATGTTGGTACTCAACTCTAGCAAAAATGGTGTATTCTGACTGTGAGGTTTTGAAGCTTTTATGTGCAATAGTGTGTTTTCTGGTGTTTATAATTATTTGCACTCTGATATCTGGATCAGTTTATAAAAACAGACATCCAGTGAAGACTTTGAAGTAAGTAACAATTATCACTAATTGCTTGTATCACTGTCTCTTGTGTTTTTATATCATGGTTTTGAAACCAACTACAGCCAACGTGTGGTTAAATGACACCAGGTCTGAAGATTTCTGTCTTCTGGGTTGTTGCGCTGTGTAGACTGGTCGATG